CGCGCATTTGATTTTGTAGAGAGAGTCAAAAGCAAGCGCGTGCGGCTTGTGTCTAAGTAGTGCACATACCCTTTTCAAGTGGCCCATCAATAATGTTACGCTGCGGTCGCGACGAAAATGACAAGTACACAATTGGTCGATTATAACGCTTTCTCAATACAAAACAGACTCGACGCAGTGTCTTGCGGGGGCAGCGTTGCCGGTATTGTTTCTATTTGTGTGATAACATCGAAAATAAACAATGATCAAATTACTACTGCTTTTTTCTGTTAAGACAAAAGTTTTGGCAGTTCTGCAGCTCTACAGAACTTAAGGGCCAGCCGCCCCTGATACAGGGTGTTTTCAAAGATGAGTCATTTATTTTAACTGCTTGTAGGACTCGTTGATATACCGAAAATCACCTATACAAAAGTTGCATAATAAAAGAAATAGTAAAAGATTAAACATGTAAAAAATAAGAATGTTAAGTCTTAGCGTTTTTTGTCTACTACTCTTATCGTTTACCTAAATTTAACAAACTTTTGTGTTGTTGCATGGTTTTCAGTACGAGTATTTGGTTCGATCAGTTGTATCAGTCTTATATCTACAAGCTGTTAAAATAAATGACTCAACTTTGAAAACACCCTGTAAAGGAAATGGTGTTTAACTGTGACACTAGATAGTCACAGTGCACCCTAAAGTTTAATTTATCATCGACCAACGTTGATGTGGTAGCTTTAGAACACGTTCACATGGTTTACAATTTCAGTTGATTTGTCAAACAACCATCGTTAAATCAACAAACTGCAACCCGATTAATTCTAACAAACCTCTTCGGCTGAAGGCTAATAAAAAATTAAATTCACGAATTGCCGCTCTATTGTGTAAAAGCGCCGTCAAGCCGTATATCACTTTTAATGGAAACGTGTGTGAATATATCGCTTCTGATGGGCGAGTTCCGCGTTTTTACTTTATTAGCCTTAATTATGGGACAGATTTTTTTACTTGAGTTATTGAGGACACTTTTGACCAACTATTTTGTCGGTTCTCACCGTCATAGCATTTGAGGCGTGTGAAGTATTCGAATGCATAATGAATTTTGTGGCATAGTTTGGTAAGATTTTTTGTACAAGCGTATAATAACTTTAAGATCGCCGAACATCCACTCTGTTTGAATAATCCTAAGGTCTACATGGTCCAAGCACATTTGTTAGTAATTTCTGTAAAATTTTAAACTAAACTGTATCCATCGAAGAAACAAAGTAAAATCAAACATATACACCCGTATTGCACGTGATCAAGAACTTAACCGTAGGAGACGCTACAGGGCCGTCAAGCTATTGTGACTGATCTGTCAAAAAATGTCGTACAAGATATGTGTTGCTGTAAATTCTATCAAAAGCATAGTAAATTATCAGGAATATACCACGCCTTTCTAATCATATTTCGACATTAGGAATCAGTGCAAAAAATTCTGTATTCACCATTTCAGCAAAATGTTACTAAAACGCACACGAAAAAAACTTGTGGACCATCTCAATTGAAATTGTTCATATTTTATTATTAACTTACATATATACCCAATAATATTTACAAATCAACCTTCTATTCACAATGCAGAGCAAATTTTTTTGAGCAAATAGAAACTACAGACGTAGTAGTAGTAGTACAAAAGTTTATTACAGACTCCATAAAGTTTGTTAGTTTGATTGCTATTAAAATTTACATGAGAAATAGGAAGAAGGTCAAAATGGCACTATTATGCTTTGGAACTCCTAAATTAACCCTAATTTTGTGTAATTATAAATTTGGAATTTCCACATTAATAACTAGAAACTTACACTTTGATTGCAGTCTATAATGAACTTACCTGTCTTGCCAAAAAGCCCGTTAAACTGCCAGTCTTAATGGTATCAATCGATTTATATGCTGTATTCCGAGGAGCTTGAATCATCAGAATTGTTGATGTCAATTATAAGGGGTTCAACTTGGGTGTCAATGATATTGTCCATATCCTACATTTTGGTTTCAACCTTCTCTTGGACATGGTCAATACATGTTCTCCATTTTGCTGGCGTAATTCTATCGACAGCAACATCAAACAGTTTTTTAAGGTCAGAAAACTTAAAAGTGCTGTTATTTGACGCCACGTATTGCTTGATGTCGGCCCAAATCAACTCGATATTATTCAGTTCGCAGTGATAGGGAGGCAGCCTGAGAATCGTTTTATTTTGGTTTTTGGCCATTTCGTCAACAATTTTTAAATCATATTTATACTTATGTCGCTTGACTATATTTATCAGCTCAGCTTTGACCATTGTTTGGTCGAAGTCGATCTTCTTTGAGACAAGCCACTGTTGAATGTCTGCCTTTTTGGTGGCCATTGTTGGAATTTTTTCCAATTTTCTGGAGTGGTACGGGGCATTATCCATCACAATAATTGCGTTATCATCAAGTGTCGGCAACATTTTTTTAATCAATTTTCAAATGAGTTACCATCCATTTCTTCGTGATAGTCTCCAGTTTTTTTGGATTCAAATGCCCACAATGCTTCAGGAACAAATCCATCTACGCTACCTATGTGGCAAATGATCAGGCGTTTTCCCTTGCCTGAAAGTAATTAGTTATTTTACTTCTCAGCGAGCGCACTAAATGACGAAATTAAGCAACTTACTCTTTTTAGGTTAGTGTAGGATAGGGTCTTAGATTAGTTTTTGGGTGAAGGAAATACTCAGAAACTTGGATGAGATAGCAAAACTGAGTTCGGAACTTCCAAATCATTGATTCGATCAGAAAATGAATTATCTGCATCCAAAAAAGTTCATATACTTCGAAACTTACCTGCAGGATTTTTCAATCCCGTCGAAAGGCCATCTAAAAAAGCCTGCCTTGAGGACCTCACAGATCTGTCTACCCAAACCTTTCCCTGCGTATGCCCCGCGTTCACCCATGTTTCGTCTAAATAATAAATTTTTCTTCCTTCAGCGCGGAATTGCCTAATGTTTCTAAGGTATTCTCTCCTCCAGATAACAATTTCCTCCTTTTCTATCAATAAACTATTCCTTCCTCTTTTCAAAAATCGAAAGTCTAGTTCTTTCAACAGCTTATGGAACGTAGATCTTTTAAAATTTGGCAGGTCCTCATCATCATTCACTTGCTTCAATATTTTATCTATTGTAGGTATTTCATTCCTGAAGAAAAAGTGATGTACTTTTCTTCTAATGGCACTTTTGTCAAAGTCATCTATTTTTTCGATGATTTTTTTTCTCGCTGGATATGTTTTTGGCTCAGATAGTGAGTGATTTTGTCTATATTCCTTCAAGATTTTGTAAACACTTGATCGACCTACTCCAGAAATTTCAGCAACCTTACATACGATATTTTCTATAGCCAATCCACTATTCTCTTGCATCTGGTTCTTGTAGATATTTAGAATAATTTGTTTTTCACCTGCGCTAAGATGAAGCTTTTTAGCCCTTTTTCTGGGTGACGTTAAGCTGATTTCAACCACTTCAGCAGCTGTATCTGTGTCAGACATTTTAGACTAATATTAAATTTCCGCAAGAAAAATCAAGTCAAGACGTGCATAAAACGTTCGCGCTCATAAACGGGTATCCGTAACTGATTACAATCCTGTGCGTGGTGACGAACCATCAACGTGACGCTGAGAGTTCCCTCTACTATGCAGCGTTGCCAGGCTTAATGTCACAATGATCATGTTTTATTGGGAAAATTGTCAGAAATCGCCGAATGTTGAACAGAAACATTACAAGAAGTCTAACCTTGAAATGTGAGGCTACAAATCGATATTCTTATAGGGGGGGAAGGGTAGGGAGCTGTTATGGTTCCTATTAACCTTGGTGAAAGTTGGAAACGGTAATATCATATATGGCATACATTCGGTTGAAGGTGTGTGCACGGAAAATAGATTGCGGATAGGATTTTAATAGATAAATCTGCACAAAAAAACACAAAAGGAAATTTTTGTATTTCCCTGAAGAATATCTCAAGGTTATTTCAGATGTACTCATCGAAACTTTATGGAAGGATTATCGAAACCTTATTTTCAATTGCGATAGGGCCACATACCTCGACATCGCATTAATGTGAAAAATAAGACAATAGAAAAAAATTCACTCACTGATGCTATCTCTTAGGAAAAATTTAACTATAAAGATTGCACAAAAATTTTCTTCACCTTTTTGAGCTTGTTTTCGAATCTCCGTATATGCCGTTCATAATTTGCTGCAGATCAAATTGGAATATACCTTTGTGATGCCATTTATTGTTATATAATGTCCTTTACAACAGTTATTGCACGTATTGCACCAACAGATTGATTTGTGATCCATGCGAATGTGATCAACCACTCTGGCGAAAACTCGCCGAGCGTGGCAACCGTGCGACTTTGTCTGGAGGCTCGTCGCTACAAGCCAATCAGGAAGAGGCCGACAGAGCGCCATGGCTACCGATCACGCGTTGATCACGAATCAACCACTGTTTACGATTACTTTGTAGCTTCGTTAGATACACTTTATGTTTCATCTTGATAAGGGTTAGAAAAAATTGGAATTTGTAGTGATGGGAAGTAAAAGATAATCATAGGGTGTAGTTTTTTGCCGTTTTTTCCGTATGCCTACAAGCTTTTTTTATGATGTCACCGGCTCCACGTTAAGTTGAAGTTTTTTAACTTGTATTGATAGTGCAATGAAACCATTCTATATTTGGAATAACTAATGACAACAGAAAGAATATAAATAATAATATATGTCTTTATTGCAACATTAACATCACAGTACGTTTGCTGTTTCATTCATATAAGTATTCCAAAAAGACATAACCAAAGTAACGTCTCTAAAGACGACAAACGTATAACGTGTATTTCTGGCGACAATAACTCTCGTCAGGAGTCAAAAATAAAAGAAGCAATCCTGTATTTCCTCATGACTACAAAGATGCTCATTATGAAGGCAAAACGATCAAGACACAGAGCGCTCTCTCTGCTCAGTTTATTTTCTTAGACGGAATACAATGGTAGGAAAATAGCAGAGCGTTTATTCAAGTTGGTAAAACGGATGAAGGCAATATGTAAGCAGAAGGGCGTGGGAGAAACAGGGTGTGTATTGAACTTGATCATTGATTTGTAATCGGTACTTGCCAAGTAGGTGTATTTATCGTGTCATATTTGATGTTATATCATGGCAAAACAATAATCGATTTGTGTTTTAGGTGCTGTATCACACACCTCTCACAACAATCTAGTTGAAATAAGTCCATTCTATTTGACAGATCTACTTCTATTATGTATCCATCGAAGAAAGAGACCAAACCTAAACATATTCACGTATACTCCACGTGATCGCGCTCGAGAACGCCGAGCGCGTTACAGGGCCGTACTAAGAATACATGATTTGTGGTTCTACGATACGATCAAAAGTATGCAAAATTATTGCAGGCATGTATAGGGTCCAAACGTAAAGCTTGGAATTAATGTATTTTTTTAATTTAACTGTCATGACCAAAAAGAAAACAAAGGTCTATTGTTGTTTTTAGTAGAAGTATTTTATCGAGAAATTATACTCGAAATGTTTCGTAAGGCGCATTGAGAAAGCAGGCTTTTAAAAATGTCTTGACACATTAAAACGATCATTGCATATGCATACGAGTATACCTAACCGCCGCTTGAACAGGGACGTCAGTGTGCAGTTAATTTAAATATTAGACTAAAAAAGGAATAGATAGGTGGAGTTGAAAGAAAAAGGATTTGAATACATAATAATATATACTAAATACACTGATCAACAGCCAAAAAATATCCTAAATAAAATCAACAAAATATTAGGTACTATTTTAATGTGCTAAAACCGGAATGAAACTTATTTTTTCAATATTAGTTCAAGTTTTAGAGATACGGTAATTATATGTGTTCGTGCTGTGACAGTGTTAATATACTGTAATTCACAAGAATGCACGTGCTACATTTTTATATTCGGCAAGGAAAGATGATGTAATCGGCATGATTGTGTTACGTTATACATACGTGTAGATTATATTGTTTTACATTAGCCATTTTTTCCTCAGTTGGCTGACAGCGTTCATGCAAGATGTCTCGAAAGTGTGTAAACAATCCAGATCAGTTTTGTTACGTGTGTGGTGATGTGACTTTTGCGTCTCAGAGACGGTCTATTACTCCACTAATAACAAAGGCATATCAGCTTTATTTCGGTTGTAAACTAGGTGATCAAGACAAACAGTGGGCACCCCACATCTGCTGTAATACATGTGCTTCAAGTCTGAGGAGCTGGTTAAATGGCAAAAAACGGTCTATGCGCTTTGCTGTCCCAATAGTTTGGAGAGAGCCTACAAATCATATTAATGATTGTTACTTTTGCATGGTATCTTGTGTTGGACAAGCCACAGGTATGTCCATGAAAATAAAAACGGTTATTAACTACCCAAACATACCATCTGCGATGAGACCTGTGCCTCACAGTGAAGAAAATCCTATTCCAAAACCCCCAGAATACTACACTTGCGAATCAGAAAACGAATCAGATCATGGCGATCGAGTGATTCGTCAGGAAGAAGATATGCCATCAACGTCAAGAGATCCTGATTTTATACCGAGCACGTCATGCCACCAACCGCACAAAATAAGACATTCAGAATTAAATGATCTTGTAACAGATTTAGAACTTCCAAAATGTAAGGCAGAGTTACTTGGATCAAGACTGCAGCAGTGGAACTTGTTAGAACACGATGTTTCGGTATGTGTTTTTTTGTAAACGCCACAAAGACTTAGAACCATTTTTCAATATGGAGAATAACTTGGTTTTCTGCAGTAACATTAACGGCTTACTGGCGGCTTTAAATATAAACTATAACCCAGAAGAATGGAGATTGTTTATAGACAGTTCAACATTGAGTTTAAAGGCAGTGTTATTGCATATTGGAAATATTTTACCATCTCTTCCTGTAGGGTATGCAGTTCACATGAAAGAATCATATGACAATATGAAGTACCTATTGACATGCATAAAATACGATGAGCAGCGATGGCATATTTGTGGCGATTTGAAAGTTGTTGCACTTTTACTTGGGCTGCAGCTAGGCTACACAAAGTTTTGCTGTTTTTTGTGTGAATGGGACAGTCGGGCAAAGGCACTTCATTACACCAAACAAAACTGGCCTGTTCGTCAATTCCTAGAGCCAGGTCAAAAAAATGTACAGCATATGCCATTAGTAGATTCGAAAAAAATTTTATTACCACCACTGCATATCAAGTTGGGCCTAATGAAAAACTTTGTCAAGGCATTAGATGGAGATGGGTCAGCTTTTCAATACCTGCGTCAGAAATTTCCAAGACTAAGTGAGGCAAAGGTTAATGAAGGTATTTTTGTTGGGCCACAGATTCGAAATATTTTGAAAGATACACAGTTTGAAAACACTTTAACAGGTATTGAAAAAACTGCTTGGAATGATTTCCGTCTGGTGGTCACTAATTTCTTGGGAAATAGAACAGCTGACAACTATAAAACCCTTGTCAAAAATATGCTGTCATCGCATCAAAAGATGGGCTGTAATATGTCTCTTAAGATATATTTCCTACACTCGCACCTGGACTTTTTTCCTGACAATTGCGGAGCCGTAAGTGATGAGTACGGCGAACGTTTTCATCAGGATATTTCAACAATGGAAAAAAGGTACCAGGGAAAGTGGAACCCTTCCATGCTTGCAGACTATTGTTGTACTCTTGGTAGAGATGCTCCAGAAACGATCCATAAAAGAACAGCAAAAAGACAGCGCATATAATGATTCTTATAAGTATATGAATCTTGTTACTTTTTTTAATATATCCTTAAAAATAAAAAGTTTTTTGTCTAAACCGCAACTAATTTTTTTATTACATTGTCATTTTTGGATTCAGCGCCCCAAAATTAACAAAGAAGTGCACTTTTCCCACAAGATACAATTAAAAAACTAAAATTTGTTGTCCAGTGATATTATACAAAAATTTTACCTCTAAAACCGGAAATACATATATTTGAAAATGAAAATCATTCTAGATCTGAGGCCGTGGAACTCCCACTGTCATCAAGATTTATGATTGAAGGGGCAACGTGAGTATCAATGATACCGTCTAATTCCCACATTTTAGGTTCGACCTTTTCTTTTACATACCGATACATTTTCGCACTTATTCGGTGTTATTCTTTATATAGCATCATGAATCAATCGGATTGAGCTCGCAATGGTAAGGAGGCAGTCGTAAAACAGTTTTATTTTGTTTTTTCGCTTACCTTTTCCTAAAAATAATTCATTTTGGACACTTTAAAACCGCTCCTGTGGAAAGCATTAAAAACCCACCAAAACGATTGCTTGATTTCTTATCGCGATATAGTTTAAGCATGTACAAAACAAATATAAAATATAAGTTTAGTTGAAATTCCTCGTCTTACAAGTATTGAAAAATATGTCATCTTTGCAAACAATATCCTGAACACTTGAGTCATTCCTTCCTTGTATTTCGTATTTATAAATGTTGATAATTATTTGTTTTTCGCCAGCGCTAAAATTAAGTCTTTTAGCTCTTTTTTTAGGCGATGTGCAGCTTATATCAACAACTTCATCAGCTGTATCCGTATCAGACATTTTGAGTTCTAGGAAATGAAACTGACAAATCTAATATGCACACAGTATAAATCTGATGCCGACTCTGTACTGTACGGCCAGCCACCGGGACAGCTTGCATGCACTGTCGTATCGCCTCCCACTCCACCCTCTGGTTTGTCATTGGTTCTGTGTAAGGGCTCGACCTATTCTGCCCAATAACAGTTATGCTCCCTCTCTCTCTCTTGAAATATATCAGTATACTGATAATAATCACGCGATGATCACTGTTTTGGTTTAGTCTCTTTCTGCGATACATACATAATAAGCATCTCTATTCAGACCCTGAGTAATTTTCAAAACGGGACGTGAAACGACGCGTTTGATGTCCAGTCTCGCTTAATATGCAATTTACTATGAGTTTGTCAAGAAATAATCAGTCAACTTATATAAAGAAAACACAATTTTGGCAAACATAATTATATCTAATTATTCCGGTTGCCATGCTATTATAGCGAAATTATGCTATTAAGATATGAACTGTAAACTGTAATTATTATTATATAGATCTGTTACATAATCATCTATCATAGCAACTGCGGTAGGTCCTGAAGCCATATATACTAAGTGACATATAAATCCGAACACCCAGTTTAAATGGTTTTATTTTAATAAAAGTTGGTGAATATATTTATATTACTGTAAATAACAAGTGAAAAAATTTTCAGCCTTATCAGTTGGACATTCCGGTTTTTATACTGCTTTTTTTTAATTCACTAACGCTCTAAAAATGAATATTTCAGCCGCAGTAAAGAATCAACGTTGGCGGATTTTCGTTCTTAACATCCTTTACGATCGGTTACGATGCCTAGAGTACGGAGACCTGTACGATTTCGTCAACTTAGTGAGTTTGATAGGGGCCGTATAGTGGGACTTCGGGAAGCTGGACTTTCTTTTCGGGCAATTGCATAACATAACTACACTGTGGTTAGGTGTTGTCAGGCATCGCTTCGAGAAGGCCGTACGCAAAGAGCAAGGGGCACTGGACGCCGCCGTAGAACAACAGACCGTGAAGATCGCCGCCTAAGATTATTGACCTTAAGGGACCGTTTCTCCACTACCAGGTCCATTGCAAATGAATGGTTTGCAGAACACGGAAGACCTATTGGCATGCGAAGTGTTTACCTACGAATGAGAAATTTTGGCTTGTTTTCATACCGGCCACACTGGGTCCTCCCTTTAACTCGAGAATACCGACGTAATCGCCTTGAGTGGTGCAGACAACGGTCACTCTGGGATCAGGAATGGAACAGTATTGTCTTTAGTGACGAGTCTTGATTTTGTTTAGGTATGCACGATGGTCGTGCCAGGGTTAGAAGGCGACGTGGTGAAAGGAGGAATCCACAGTTTTTTGTTGAAAGACATGTTCATCACACTGTTGGAGTTATGGTTTGGGGTGCTATAGCTTATGGTTCCAGGTCACCTTTAATCTTCATCAGAGGTAACATGAACGCGCAGCGTTATATCCACGAAGTTCTAGAACCCCATCTTTTACCCTATCTTGACACCCTGGCAGATCCAACTTTCCAACAAGATAATGCCCGACCACATGTTGCAAGAGTCACAATAGACTTCTTTCAACATAATGATGTCACATTGTTACCATGGCCACCAAGATCTCCCGACTTATCCCCAATTCAGCACGTGTGGGATATGATGGGTAGGAGATTGCTCAATTTGCAACGTCCTCCTCAGACTCTAGAAGCACTTCGAGAGGAGTTGGTGGTTACCTGGAATGAGATGCCACAGGAGGACATTGACCACCTGATCAGAGGCATGCCTAGGCGCGTTGGAGCATGCGTAGCACATCAGGGTGCACCCACGCATTATTAAAGGTCAAAGGGCTTTAAAGCAGTGCAATCATTTTGAAATTTTCATCATTTACTTATTATGCTTCATTAAGTACTTATACAAAATTTTATTAAAATAAAACCATTTAAACTGGGTGTTCGGATTTATGTCACTTAGTATAATTTACTGTTGTTTGATATTTTACTCCAAAAAAAAACCTGAGACAATTCAAAGACGGAAAGACAGATAGCTGCTTTCTTGCTGAATCGTATGTTTAGATTTTTTACATAAAAAGGTTTTAGGGTATTATCATCAGTAGTTCCTACAATTGTATGACTCCTTTATCGCCTCCTTGATTTTCATAGTTTTTACTGATCCCTCTCAGCGCTCTATTTTTAGGTTATGTTACAAATATCTATTTGCATAAAATTTCATGCTTTTGTTTTATATCATCTGTAATATCAGGCTGAAATTTTCTGCAACTCAAAAAGAAAACCTAGTCTCACAATAGGAGAGCGCTGACGTTGACACGGAAAGTAGAAATCTAGAAATACCCCCCACAGAGAAAATACTATGACAATCAAGGAGGCCATAAAGGCCTAGGGACGAATAACGATACGGCCCTTAGGTAACTCATTATGTTAAATCATCGAAAAAATAAACAGTGGTACAATTTTTACTTACGCTGAATGCAGCTGTCGTACCAAACAGCAAAGTTTTCTTTGCACGCGCAAGTGTTATTCTTGCAATATGTGTCGATGGTGCCGCAGTCTTCGGACGTGAAGCATTCGCCGTGAAGGGCAGAACCTGTAATAAATAGTTATCTGAGCAATGTTTAATGTATTAATGACACTGCGATATAACCTATCAGCAATATGGGAAACAAGTTTTTCTTCCATACTATTCATTTATGAATCCATTCTTGATATCTATGGGAATCGAGCCTACAACTCATACTTACGCCACGTCACCATGCTAACAAATACTTACAGGAATTTTAAATCAAGAATACTCTATTCACATCTTTAAGTTCATATGAAGATGAAAATATGTTTAACATGTCAAATGGTAGTTACCTGTCGTATGGTAGATGAAAAACGTGGAAAAAACCAGAAACTGTTCCAAATACATAGTGGCCCTTGCTTGACAAATCTTTATCTATTCTTGAAGTTCAGTCATTGTCTTCTTGTTGTTGAATTATCCAGCCTGAAAGAGAAAAAAGCATCGTGTAGATTCACATATAGGCGTATGTAAAAATAGACATTTCGAGCGCCCCGATTCACAATAACTAATATACCTGGATAACACAAAAAATGAGCCATGCAATTTCCAAGATTCTTACGCTCACAAAGAATTTCTACAACAACCGGTAGCCAGGTGTGTTACGCATCGGCTCGAAGGCTCGCGGGTTCGAATCCCGGCCTCGGGGTGTATGAGTGTATACAGGGTGTCTTAATTGAGAGTGCAATTTTTGGATCCATTTAAAGAAGAGAACTCCATGTGAACGTATGTCCGAAACATCTTATCTTTTGATTTTCAGGTACAACAGCGTCTGGTGCTTGATATGAAATGTTAGAATTATTTTTTAGTTGCTATTTACCTCATCGTAGCTATAATGAAAATATAGTTAATTGCGGTGTTTGGTAGTTTTTCAAATTTTTATGTCGATATTTCAAATTTATTAGTCATACTTGATTTTTTTGACTTTCCATTGGAGTAACTGTCCTATACTAAACATTTTTTTTCTACTTTTTCGTTCGATTTGCTAATAAAGCGAATTTTTTTAATCTAATATTTATTTTCTGAATTTTTAGTCTCAAATCTCAGCGAAAAAGCTTATAATCAATAGTTCGATTTTTGATATATTCTATTCTAGCTTTTCCAAATTTCGAAATTTCAAAATTTTTCTCAGAATTTTCAATATTTTTTCAAATTTTTTTTTAAAAATTCTCAAATCTTCAAATTATTTTCCAAATTTCTGCATTTTCTAATTATTTTCCAAATTTTCGAATCCAAATCTTCTTCAGATTTAGAAATTCAAATATTTTAAGAATTCTCAAATTTGAATGTATTTCCAAGGTTATTGTACTGTCATCGGCCCTTGAACTCCTTGAAATAGGTGAAAATCACGTTGAAAGATTCCGTTAGATATATACTAAGTGACATATAAATCCGAACACCCACTTTAAATGGTTTTATTTTAATAAAATTTTGTATAAGTACTTAATGAAGCATAATAAGTAAATGATAAAAATTTCAAAATGATTGCACTGCTTTAAAGCCCTTTGACCTTTAATAATGTGTGGTTGCACCCTGATGTGCTACGCATTCTCCAACCCGCCTAGGCATGCTTCTGATCAGGTGGTCAATGTCCTCCTATGGTATCTCATTCCAGGCAACCATCAACTCCTCTCGAAGTGCTTCTAGAGTCTGAGGAGGACGTTGCAAATTGAGCAATCTCCTACCCATCATATCCCACACGTGCTCAATTGGGGATAAGTCGGGAGATCTTGGTGGCCATGGTAACAATGTGACATCATTATGTTGAAATAAGTCTATTGTGACTCTTGCAACATGTGGTCGGGCATTATCTTGTTGGAAAGTTGGATCTGCCAGGGTGTCAAGATAGGGTAAAAGATGGGGTTCTAGAACTTCGTGGATATAACGCTGCGCGTTCATGTTACCTCTGATGAAGATTAAAGGTGACCTGGAACCATAAGCTATAGCACCCCAAACCATAACTCCAACAGTGTGATGAACATGTCTTTCAACAAAAAACTGTGGATTCCTTCTTTCACCACGTCGCCTTCTAACCCTGGCACGACCATCGTGCATGCCTAAACAAAATCGAGACTCGTCACTAAAGACAATAAATACTGTTCCATTCCTGATCCCAGAGTGAACGTTGTCTGCGATTACGTCGGTGTTCTCGAGTTAAAGGGAGGACCCAGTGTGGCCGGTATGAAAACAAGCCAAAACTTCTCATTCGTCGGTAAACACTTCGCATGCCAATAGGTCTTCCGTGTTCTGCAAACCATTCATTTGCAATGGACCTGGTAGTGGAGAAACGGTCCCTTAAGGCCAATAATCTTAGGCGGCGATCTTCACGGTCTGTTGTTCTAAGGCGGCGTCCAGTGCCCCTTGCTCTTTGCGTACGGCCTTCTCGAAGCTATGCCTGACAACACCTAACCACAGTGTCTAGTCTTCTTTGCACTCTAACTGCAATTGCCCGAAAGTCCAGCTTCCCGAAGTCCCACTTTACGGCCCCTATCAAACTCACTAGGTTGACGAAATCGTACAGGTCTTCGTACTCTAGGCATCGTAACCGATCGTAAAGGATGTCAAGAAAGTTAAAGGGAGGACCCAGTGTGGCCGGTATGAAAACAAGCCAAAACTACTCATTCGTCGGTAAACACTACGCATGCCAATAGGTCTTCCGTGTTCTGCAAACCATTCATTTGCAATGGACCTGGTAGTGGAGAAACGGTCCCTTAAGGCCAATAATCTTAGGCGGCGATCTTCACGGTCTGTTGTTCTACGGCGGCGTCCAGTGCCCCTTGCTCTTTGCGTACGGCCTTCTCGAAGCCATGCCTGACAACACCTAACCACAGTGTCTACACTTCTTTGCACTCTAACTGCAATTGCCCGAAAAGAAAGTCCAGCTTTCCGAAGTCCCACTATACGGCCCCTATCAAACTCACTAAGATGACGAAATCGTACAGGTCTCCGTACTCTAGGCATCGTAACCGATCGTAAAGGATGTCAAGAACCAAAATCCGCCAAAGTTGATTCTTTACTGCGGCTGAAATATTCATTTTTAGAGCGTTAGTGAATTAAAAAAAAGCAGTATAAAAACCGGAATGTCCAACTGATAAGGCTGAAAATTTTTTCACTTGTTATTTACAGTAAGATAAATACATTCACCAACTTTTATTAAACTAAAACCATTTAAACTGGGTGTTCGGATTTATGTGTCACTTAGTATATGTACATACGGATTGATTGTTAAAAATGAAAGCTATTTCTCTGCTTGGTGATGTCATATTGTTATTGATCATGCAGAGAGATTTTTTATTTTTTCAAGCGTAAACCGTGCTTTGGATTGAAAAAATCAAAGAATCAAATTTGCTTAGAAAACGCCACTGGTGTAAATTAAATAAATGTAGTTAATTAAAAAATGATGGGAGGGCTATTTGCAATCAGAAAAACTGTATGTCCTTATCCGATTGGACTCGGTTTTTGAATTATTTATGTATATATGTTGCATTTTCTATATGCATATGTTTTTGCAACGCCCTAAAGCGATCATATAATTAAAAAAAACGGCGATGGAATCTTCAACGCGCATAAGAAATTCTGTTAGGCCATTTTTTGATCCATCCTGAACGGTAGGCGCCAATAATTGGATCGGTTCTTCAAAACAGTAGAAATATCGCCGACACAAATCTGAATTACTACCAAAACCAATTATACTCCGAAGAAAAAAAAAACACGCCTATCCACCAGCGCTTTTATAGGTGTTAAGCATCCGTTGTATGTTAGCGCCTATCTTCTTGTCGCTCCGGGCCGTTTTCAGCCTTCCAAGTGCGTGGTGTTAGCAATTATCTAGCCCAGTTTTATCCCCTTCTATGGTCCTCTTCTGCTAATTTGAAGCTCGTGAAGAGCATTTCGCACTTGCCCGCTAGAAACCGATACCCTTTTCAATGTCGACTGGGCAGTTTCGCTACATCAACGCATATACCCGTCAAACCGAAGAGATATGCATCTAACTAGCACGGCTAACATAGTATGTGTGGTAGAATATCGAAGCTAAGTGTATACAGGGTATCCCATAAAATAGTGTCAATATTTTTAAGGTAGATTTGTGTGAAATTTTTCGATAGCTTTCAGTAGACATTAAACCAAAAAGGGAAATGGTAAAATTAACAGTTACGCAGTGGATATTTGAAACCAGTTTTATATAATACACTACCGTTCAAAAGTGTTCCTGGAAAGCAAGGAGACTGTTAAACATTATTAAAAAAAACATTACAATATCTGTATGAAACATTTATTTTCTTAATTCGTAGTAACATACAAGTATTTATAATCAAAATAATCATATTTTTCACTCATCAAAATGTCCTCCTTTAATTACAGCCTGACAAATGAAGGGGAAAACGCGAAACTAATTTTTCTAAAATGGATAGGGTTATTTTTCGCCAGTCTTCTTGTAATATTCTCCATAAGTATTCTAGAGATGTAGGACAACATTTCCGTACCTGTCTGTCCAGTTCATCCCACAGCAACTCTATCGGATTGAAATCCGGGGATTGGGGCGGCCATTGCATGACTTTCAAAATATTTTCTTCTTCTTTTGCTTCCAAAAATTGTTTACAGATCCTGGATGTGTGTTTGTGGTCAACATCATGCTGAAAGACAAACCCCGGACCAATAAGATGAGTCCCAGAAGGCACAACATGATTTTGTAGTATGGCTTTGTAATCTTCTTTTTCAGTATTCCCTGTACTCTCACAGCATAAACAAGAATCATTTTTTACCAATTTCGAGGTATGCAATTTTTATTTTTCTCCCACCGAAAATCCACGGGCTCAAGACGGTCCTGAACTGACTGGTTCCGACGCGATACGCTTGGAGCGCTCGCCGCGCTGTAAGCATTTGTGGAGCTGGCCTGTGATAGACCAGTCATAATAGTCATGAAGCTGTTGGAAGTCTATCTTATTTTCGAATAGTGTATTCAACCAGAGCCGTATGCTCCGCTGTTCGATTTTCGTCCGCCGGCGCGCATGACGTCACGCGGAGAGTGATTATCGTTTGGGTTGATATGGATAACGTGCATATTTTCACCTACAGGCCAAACGGCTGGACGGATTTTCACATATGAGGTGTCGTTGGATCCGTCTTAGCGGTGCGAGTGACGCTAGCTACATTGAAATTTTATAAAAAACAAAATGGTGGATTTTAATAAAAGATTTCAACCCTGTAATTCCTATTTCACAGGCTACAGCTTAAACGGCTTCTAGCTCCACAATAGAGCGTATCGTCTCTTCACTGTACAAACAAGATAACTGCATTTTTCAACATTACCTATATTTTAGTATGTTATGTGGAGCAGGATTAACATGTCATAATACTGTACTACATTTATCCTTATTCGACAGAACATCCTAAGTAAATGTAAGTGTGAAAATTTACATATATGACCTTATTCTATACTTAAACTCTAGAGGACTTGTATGGTCATGAAGACCATCTTTTTGCCCTAATTACTCCAAAAAAGTTTTCTATCTTGATTAAGACGTCATGTTAACAGGTATTGGACGCTGAAGTGTGGTTTCAGATCCTCTAGAGCATTTTCTAGCAGACCCTAGCGCTTTTTACATTGACTTTGTCTTATCTTTTTGTGAGATGTAGCCATGTTTTTGCTAAAGTTTGGGTCTTGAGGAAAACTGTGAAATTTCATGTCTTTGCAAAGATTCCTTTTAGATTGATTGTCGGAATTACATCCCGCAAAAGCATTGTTATCAATTTATCAACCACACAGGGTATATAAGGTATGTATAACCAATACAACAAGTCACAAAACCACCAAAAACACCAACAAATCGCACTATATATACTAAGTGACATATAAATCCGAACACCCAGTTTAAATGGTTTTATTTTAATAAAATTTTGTATAAGTACTTAATGAAGCATAATAAGTAAATGATAAAAATTTCAAAATGATTGCACTGCTTTAAAGCCCTTTGACCTTTAATAATGTGTGGATGCACCCTGATGTACTACGCATTCTCCAACGCGCCTAGGCATGCTTCTGATCAGGTGGTCAATGTCCTCCTGTGGTATCTCATTCCAGGCAACCACCAACTCCTCTCGAAGTGCTTCTAGAGTCTGAGGAGGACGTTGCAAATTGAGCAATCTCCTACCCATCATATCCCACACGTGCTCAATTGGGGATAAGTCGGGAGATCTTGGTGGCCATGGTAACAATGTGACATCATTATGTTGAAAGAAGTCTATTGTGACTCTTGCAACATGTGGTCGGGCATTATCTTGTTGGAAAGTTGGATCTGCCAGGATGTCAAGATAGGGTAAAATATGGGGTTCTAGATCTTCGTGGATATAACGTTCATGTTACCTCTGATGAAGATTAAAGGTGACCTGGAACCATAAGCTATAGCACCCCAAACCATAACTCCAACAGTGTGATGAATATGTCTTTCAACAAAAAACTGTGGATTCCTCCTTGCACCACGTCGCCTTCTAACCCTGGCACGACCATCGTGCATGCCTAAACAAAATCGAGACTCGTCACTAAAGACAATACTGTTCCATTCCTGATCCCAGAGTGACCGTTGTCTGCACCACTCAAGGCGATTACGTCGGTGTTCTCGAGTTAAAGGGAGGACCCAGTGTGGCCGGGTATGAAAACAAGCCAAAACTTCTTATTCGTCGGTAAACACTTCGAATGCAAATAGGTCTTCCGTGTTCTGCAAACCATTCATTTGCAATGGACCTGGTAGTGGAGAAACGGTCCCTTAAGGCCAATAATCTTAGGCGGCGATCTTCACGGTCTGTTGTTCTACGGCGGCCTCCAGTGCCCCTTGCTCTTTGCGTACGGCCTTCTCGAAGCCATGCCTGACAACACCTAACCACAGTGTCTACACTTCTTTGCACTCTAACTGCAATTGCCCGAAAAGAAAGTTCAGCTTCCCGAAGTCCCACTATACGGCCCCTATCAAACTCACTAAGTTAGTGAATTAAAAAAAAAGCAGTATAAAAACCGAAATGTCCAACTGATAAGGCTGAAAATTTTTTCACTTGTTATTTACAGTAAGATAAATACATTCACCAACTTTTATTAAAATAAAACCATTTAAAGTGGGTGTTCGGATTTATATGTCACTTAGTATAGTATTAACGATGATACACATGAACTGCAGTAACGTTACGACAATCCTGCCGCTGGTAACCACGAGCCGATAACTCTCCGGGTGACGTCACGCTCACATGCGCAATATCCTATCTTTAGTGTGTGTATCGTGGTATTCAACGGATATCTCGAATTCTGTAAATCAAGCTAGCAAGAGGAGTTTCTGAGCTATACTTAAATTACTGTTGAGCGTTGATTTTTGCATCGGATTTGTGTTTTTGGATTGTCAGCGTTCAAAAATAAAGATAAATAAGTTATTTGGGAATCATCATAAATGCAACTTCAATGCTGAAAACTACTGTTAAACACCGGTGAGAGTTAATTGAATTTGTCCTCTAATTCCGTTCGAAATTCTCACCGAGATGTCGTGTACTTTTTTTAAATCGTTTTGCTTAGGTGTGTAAGTATTCATTACAGAAAAGTTCCACCATCAGAGACATAGCCATCTCTCTTTAATAAGAACGTAAAAATATTGACTCGTGATTATAACCATAATGACTGGACTATGAAGCTATCATCGGAGAGCGATCCGGGGAACAGCTGATTATGACGTAAGCTCCGCGTTTTGAGAGTAAATTTTAGGTTAGGAACATAAACACGTTTGGTTACAATTTGAGCTTTATTCATGATTTTGGTAGCGTAAAGGTGAATTAAAATGGAAAATACTGGTGAGAGTGACGATGACGTGCCTCAGTTATCCGCGGAAACATTTTCAGCGTTGCAACAGTTTTACCAAGAGCAAGAAAATCGCGAAAAACAACAAGATGTTAATAGTCTTACGGGTGGAGATGTGCCATTAGACGAAAACTGGGTAAGTAACAAGAAGCAATATATAATAATAAGCTAATTGAATCCTCTATTTGCACTATGTTTTATTTTCCTGTCTATGTTGTTTTTGTTTAATCACAGCCTACATTAATTAGTTTTGACATAGACAGGGTCGTATTTAGTATCTAGTTGAAAGCTTTTACTCGAAATGTGTGACGCTGTTATTTTTTGCAGCAACTGAGCCAGTTTTGGTATGATGATGCCACAATAGATTTTTTAGTCAACATAGCGTTGAAATCGGTTGGATCAGATGGAAAGATAGCTTTGGTATCATGTCCTACCTTATACAAGAAGATGAGACAGAAAGCCGACAAAAACTGTGAAAGTATGATTATATTTTCAGCAATTAAAAACGGACTAATTAGTTCATTACATTAATTCGTTTTCTCGTTTTTTGGGCTCTGAATTTATGAGTTTTGGTATGAAATATTTTTAATGAATTTCTTTCAGTAACATTGTTTGAATATGACAACAGATTTGCCGTTTATGGAGAAGATTTTATGTTTTATGACTACAACTCCCCGTTATCAATTCCAAGAGAAAAATCTGGATATTATGATCTAGTTATAGCCGATCCACCTTTTTTATCGGAAGAATGTTTAACAAAGACAGCTGTATCGATTAGATTTCTTACGAAAGAAAAGATAATTCTGTGCACAGGTCAGTTGAAATACGTTTTTTGATTCAAACGTACATGCATTTTAGGCGCTAAAATAATCGTCTCTATTTAATCGAAAAAATTAAAACACTCAGCATCTCAATTGAAAGAATTTTCGGAAATAAAAATAGTATGATTTTGAATATTATGAAATGTTTGATATTTGGATGCAATTTCCAGGTGCCATCATGACTGACTTAGCAAAGAGATTACTAGACTTGAATAAGACAGTGTTTGAACCCAAACATAGGAACAACCTTGCAAATGAATTTTTGTGTTTTTCTAACTTTGCGTTTGACGATTTTCTGTGAAGACGTCAATTATTGCTTCTAAATATTCTTATAATTACTCTCTTAATTTTATAATTATTATAGATGAAATAAAAAATTACACTCCTGTTGTTTTTATTTTCTTTTATTGCGCATTGCATCTTGGATACTTTGATTAGAATATAAGATGTTGATATAGTTAAAGGATTTATTCGTGAATTTGTAATATAAGCGTAACTAAACTGATATATTGAAATGGATAGAAAACAATTTATTCATTGATAAAGGGTAATGATTTTCGCATTTGATAGACTTTCTTTGATTGCGTGGAGTGGACCTTTTTCTACCGATAATATTCAAGACTATAATCATTTTAAAGTTGCGTTGTTGAATATTCAATACGGCGATATCAAAGCTACTTCATTTAAAAGTGTTGGGTGTTGCTGGTAGCATAGCATGAGCACATTTCTGATAATGATTGAATACCATCTACAAGGGTTGTTTCAAAAATAAGGTTACCACATTCCTGCAAATTTATGACCAATTATAAGCAAAGGCTTAACGGACCTCTCTGTGACGGATAGATCGAATAACTTTATTGATTTTTAACTTTCCACAAGTTTCACTGATATTTTTTAAATGAAAAGAAATGAATACAAACTGAAACTTTCGGTAATTTAAATAATCGAAACTTTAACATAAAGTATTATTCCGTCAATGTAATTACAGATAATAACTTGAATGGACCAAATTATCGACAGTAAATTCTACATAACCATCCTGACCCCCTCTGGATGGACAGAAAACAATTAAACAGTTAACATCGTGCCATAAAATCCTTTTTTATAGACATCTCCCATTGAACCGACGATTTTTCCTTCACTGTAGCGCCAGCTTCGATAACCTACTTCAATATCGCTCTAATACGAACCTTAAAAAGTTTGATCTGTCCTCCATTAATGGTCGATTAGTCTGTGTCGTTTCAGTTTGGTCTGTGCACGTTATCTCGAGCTGTATGATTCTTTGACCTGAAACAAAACAAAAAATACGTTTATAGTGCGAGATCCTATGCATGCGTCAAGTTTTCCAAGCGTTTACGATTCCAGCACAACAAATTTCCTCTTTTACATTGAAATCATGAGTTCTTCAATAATCGACAATCGCACTAAGAAAAAATTCTATTGAGCTAACTAAAATTTTATTTAGGACAATTAAACAAATCGTTTATTTAAATTTATTAAACTACTTACTTAGACTGAGTAAACCAGTTTACTTGAAATTCGTGAAGTAATCAAATGAGTTTAACTTAAGATTACTCAGATGCTATTCTTCGCAAAATCAATCAAACCTAAACAAAATCTAATCCGGTCCAGCACCTCGATCAGATTGCAGGCCGCGTAAACACACATCGATTCTAAAAAAAAAACACGCAGAGTAATATCGTATATTATTTTAATTTAAGGTGAGTACCTTCGAAATGCTACCGAGGCTTCGCGAGTGCAAGCAGATCGTTTTTAAGGATTCTTCGTGATTTCGTATTTTGTTTCTTGTTTAATGAATTTAGCAATTTGCTGCATTTATTCGGGAAAGCCAGTCGTTTCCCAACTTTCAGGAAGCCCTGAATAATGGAGATCCAGGGGTGCTTGCGATCCCGGACTATAAGTATTGTTATACGTATTTAGATTATCCATGTGCTAATGTTTATAAAGTTCAATTTTTTGAGAGAACTATGATAGCAATTAATTATCGGTTTCTTGACATTTCACCATACGATGTGCTGTAATTTAGCGCCTGATAAAGAAAATATGTACAAACAGTGCTCGTTAGATGTAAACATTTATATAATTATAGTTGCTTCTTGTCCAAGAAAAGCAACATTTAGGTGAGGATCATGGGAAATAGGCATCAAAACCATGCGAAATATTATATTTTGCTAAAAACGTTCTTCTCGGCTTAAATCCAGAATATTTTTCATATTGAAATAAAGTATCATGAACTCTTTTCACGCCACATGTAAACGTATTTTAAGAGAATATTTACAAGAATTCGTGCGTGTCTGCAATTTCGATCAGAACCTGTTTTAGGTCACAAATACGTTCGCCTATATGAGAATACCAAAAACACTATTTTCTAACTCCAAATAATGTATACAGGGTGGCGCATCGAAAACGAAACAGACGCATTTACTGGCCGCTCAGTTTTTTTTTTGGAAAACGCACAGACCCATCGATTTTGTCTTCGAGGGGGACACAAGGTTGGCAAAAAATCACGTTAGCGCGCGCAGCCCCCTCAGCGGGGCTGACACCACCCCAAAATCTTAAATGGGTCGAGTGATAACTTATTTTAAAGGTCTGTCAATTCCCTTTATAATGATATAAAATTAATGTACTTCAGTTCAGTAGTTTTGAAGATTTATTGATTTAAAGCTTAAAGTAGACTTTAACAGGTACATCAGATTAGTTTGTAATACTTTCAGAAGAAATTTGACTAAAAGAATTTACTTAATAAGTAAATGCTTTTCTTCACTACGCCCAAAACAAAATTGACTGAGCTGCCAGTAAATGCGTCTGCTTCGTTTTCGATGCGCCACCCTGTATATACAGGGTGACTTCGAAGTTGAGTCATTTATTTTAACAGTGAGTAGATCTGATCAAAAGAAATGTTTTTTTCCTTTAACATTTTTGTGGTAAAATTAAAGTAGCAAAGTTATAGCCCTTTAGAAGTTTGAGTACCGCCCTGTCTCAATAATAATATTATGTGCTCGTGTTTGGCGACAACGGATATACTCCGCCTTATCGGTTCATCGCATCGGAAACAAAAAAGCGAAAGAATTTGGAACGATGTTTTTACAATTATTTCATTCAGTTGTATACAGTCAGTGTCAGTCGGTAGTGGATAGTGGTGTCTGTTGCGTGGCTCAAACGAAAGAAAAAATGGCACATATTTATGCGGATCGGTTTCCCAATCGAGTGCAACCAACCCCTCGTGCCTTTGTTAATGTAGTACAACGGGCTCGTGAATCAGGTGACTTAAGACCTCACAGGGGACTGCATGCCGGTGCTCCAAGACCTCACGATCAAATACAGGTCCGCACTGAAATATTTGTCGGGAGGATACTTTATAAAACAAGGTAAAAAAGTTTTTAAAATTTTTTTTTATTTTTACACACATATTTTGGTGTATCTTCCTTCTACAATCATTATCTGAAAATTAATGACTCAACTTCAAAGTCACCCTGTATAATACCCTCTTACTCAAATATTTTTCCTTTGAGAGTTAGTTTTGATCTTGTCTGCCTGTTTTCCTGCAATATAACCTAGGTAAGGTAACTAGAATATTATTAATTGATAGTAAAAAAAAATGATAATTCATATCCCTCATTCACAGTACTGCTTCTCTTTTCTCCTACACATTAAATGATATTTTTAGATGACTATCGGTACAAGTTGACGATGCAGAGTTTCTGTAAGGGTCTACTTTCTTTCAAGGACTGAAAAACAGATTAGTATCGGACCGTACTTCGTTCAATGTTATATTACTTGATAGAATCCTTTAAGCATCCAAGCGGTTGTTGAGACTCATGATAATTGTATTATTGTAGCAACTAACCAACGATAGATGTACGATAGTGGCAGGTCCATTATTTTCCTCCCGGAAGAAGGTGAAATTAATTTATCATATTTATCATTAGGCAGTGACCTAGTTGGTTAGATTTGGATTTGGAGAGTGCACTTCTTTGCCTTGTATCTTTGCCTACAACGTCTTATTTCATTTTTTTCGGGTTTTGAGGTAAAACAGTTCGAAACTTAGAATTGCCCAGGGTGCTATAGGAGCGCTTTTTGAAATTTTGTTTTCGCACTAGATTTACGGTGGGTTGAAATGCTTACTTTTTTTGTTGAATTTCGCGATTTTTTTTAAAAAGAGCCTAGTAGAAAAAATGAAATAGTGACTCGATAGCACTCTGTAGCGTTTTGTTTTGAGCACACTTTAAAAATTTCGTGCGAAAATATTGAAAAATGAGTTCCGAAACGCAAACCTCTACAAATCGGATTTTGCACGAACACACAGGATTTGTGACATGACAATTTTGGGTGTACAGGTATCCTATGTATTTTAAGACCCTTGAATCAAATCTAAAAACAGAATTCTTCTATCACCCACACTTATTCGTACTTTTATGAATTACAATACGTAACATCTCATATTGCTGCATTTCTTGGCGTTTATGCGATGACGCACATATACAGGGTGTTTCAGTTTATTGTTGCATAACTTTAAGATTCGATAGAACTTTTAAAATTAATGCATAAAGTCTATATAAACATGGGTCGAAAAATGCGTGGCTTCCGAAATAAATAAATTTACTTTTTAAAATAGTTTTTTTGAAATATTTCGAACAATATTTGATGTATAATAACGAAAATTGGTATACAAGGGTTTTTTGGTACGACAAAACGAACCATGGGCATAGTTTTACTGTATCCCCTAGAGGGCGCTCTCTACTGTACTTGTAGTGTATTAAAATGACCTAAAATTTTTTCTTAGTGCAACTGTTTGCTTTTTGAATAAAAAAACTGATTCTTCGCACTTTTCTGCATAAAAAAGCTCTCTTGTGAGTTTTCGTTATAGTTAGCCGTTTTTGAGATATTTCGATTTTTAAGGTTCGATGCATTTTTAATTATTAATGGGAAAATAATATTTTTTTTACATTTTCGATTTGGGCATTACAAGTAATTAAGATGATCGTTTAGATTGTGTTTTTAAACACAGCAATAATTCCTAACTCCAAATAAACACAAAAAACAGAATATTAATTTGTTTAATTTTCCAATATTATTTTTAACAAATTAAATTAATTATTTACAACTAAAATGCTATTGGATAGTTAAGAAAAACATACAAAATCTAAAGTAGTTGCTCGAACTGTAAACCCAATTGTTCAATACACAATTCACATCTACGAATGATCGAACGTGGTATAGCATTATTCAAATAAGGCCTTATTTCATCACATGCATTCCTGATTCTGTCTATTAGCATATCTCTTGTGGTTACGGGAGTCTGGTACACTTTTTCTTTTAGAAATCCCCACACAAAGAAATCTAATGGATTTAGGTCAGGGGATCGTGGAGGCGACTGGTCCTCCACGGCCGATCCATCTTTCTGGATAATTTTCGTTCAGCCAGTTTCTAACTATTCTCGAATGAGCTGGACAACCATCAGGCTAGAACCAGGCCAATCTTCTTAAATCTAACATAACATCATCCCACATATTTGCATGTTCAGCCTTTAAAAATTCCAAGAAGGTCGCAGCATTTAACCTTGCAGGCAAAAGGTAGGGTCCAAATAGTCGATTACGGTAGATACCAATCCACACGTTCACACTAAATTCATGCTGAAAATTTCTTTCCCGAACTGCATGCGGATTTTCATCCGACCAAATATGTTGATTATGAAAATTTACCACTCCACGTCTAGTGAAGCATGACTCATCGGTCCATAAAACGTTACTTAAAAACTGCCTATTATTATCAGTTCTATCAAGAATCCACTGACAAAATGTGATTCTTCGTTCTCCGTCCCCTGGCTGTTTCAACAGACAACAAAACTAACTGTCAACTAATTGACGTTTAACCTTAATCTGCTTTCAATTTGAAAAATATTTGCAGGCACAGCCTACTTCTAAAAATTATCTAGATACTGACTGTTTAACGTTATTTTATCATAAATAATTAAAAATGCATTGAACCTTAAAAATCGAAATATCTCAAAAACGGCTAACTATAACGAAAATTCACAAGAGGGCTTTTTTATGTTGAAAAGTGCGAAGAATCAGTTTTTTTATTCAAGAAGCAAAAAATTGCACTAAGAAAAATTTTTCGGTCATTTTAATACACTACAAGTACAATAGAGAGCGCCCTCTAGCGGCTACAGTAGAACTATGCCCATGGTTCGTTTTGTCGTACCAAAAAATCCTTGTATACCAATTTTCACTGTTATACATCAAATATTGTTCGAAATATTTAAAAAAAACTATTTTAAAAAGTAAATTTAAACACCCTGTATTTCGGAAGCCACGCATTTTTCGACCCATGTTTACATAGACTTTATGCATTAATTTTAAAAGTTCTATCGAATCTGAAAGTTATGCAACAATAAACTCAAACACCCTGTATAATATTAAGACCTGTCTATTCCCTTTTATTATATTCGAGCTGTATGTTTAGAGAGCATATTGCGTTTATTAGTAGACTAGTAGCAGCCGAGTCAGTTACGTTTTCTGTGTTGAAGAGTACTGAGATATGTTCTGACTACTGTTAATTT